GCGTTCGACCCAGCGGTCGACGCGCTATGTCCGGACCCTACCTACCTTTTACCTTCAGGTAATTTTTAGAAAATCTTTTTAATATTATAAACATAATGCAAGGTCAATGAAAGTATGATTGAAATAGTTCATTACGGGGTTCATAGCGACTGAAATATAGAAGTTTTGTCGTTACCTCGTTACTTTACCTACTTACAATTTAAAACAAATATTTTGCTTACGTTTAGTACTTAATTGTTCATTTTATAATAAATTTTTGTGGGTAAGTATTACCTAATAGGTACGGTATATTTAGCTATCTTATTTCTATTAGTTATCAAATAGGTACTAGAGACTCTATATAACAATTTGTAAAGCTTTGAGTGACTAGTTATTTTTTTGTAATTTGAGTCCACTCAAGAATACTCCACGTCATTGCAGTTAGGCACAAGACTTATTTGTTTTGTAATATTTACCTCTATTTTAAATTAGTAAAAAATAAACCAACCAACTTATCAATAGAATATTTATAATTTATTCCGTAAACAATAAGGATAAACCGCAAAATACAGAAACCAATGGTACCAATCCGATAAATTAATTACCTAGGCACCACGAAAGTGTTTTAAATAACTTATTTACTGTGAATATTTTATTTGTAAATGAGTTCAAAAAATGTGTACGAGAATGAAGAATAAAGATAGTACCTATCAGTACAAAATAATGATGCTATAATAAAATTAATCAAAAAAAGCACGAAACTTAACCTAAACCTATAGACGATTTTCAGGCTTTTCATAGGCTTTGGGAATCACCGCAGTTCAGAGGACTATTTTTACAATTGGATCTAGACTACGTACTTACTAATAAAATAATATTTTCCTCTTGTAATTATTTGTTATTATCGCCTTAGAAACACATGCCGTACCGTGTGATGCCGGCTTAGAATAGCATCACCCCAATTCTACCCGTGGGTGTCGTAAAAAGCGACTAAGGGATATTCATCCAGGGAATGGGCAGCAGCGTTCCCTGTAAATGTAACATCTTGGCACTGCGCTCGCCAAACCGCCTGCCAAGCGTGGTGAGTATGGCAATACCCCCCGATAGGGGGAGGCCCATGTCCAGCAGTGGACTGTTGTGGCTGTTATGGTAGAAACACATTATCAAAATGTAAACTATTGTTCTCCCTGCTTAATGAAGTAAAACCACACAGATTATTATTTCCATACTCTACCGCTTTATTAATAAATCTCGTTCATTGAGAGGCGGCCGGAAGCACTTTGTCCGCCATCTTGGATCCGGCGCAAGCGCACCTCGCGAGCTTCCGACGCATCGCCGTGACGCGCATAAAAAGCTGCGCCGCCGCTTGTCTCTTGTCTTGTCGCACATTTATTTGCATACAAAAACAATGTAAAAAGAAAAAAATAAGAGTTAAAGTAAGAAAGAACAGAATAAGGAGTTTACTTGCACTGTAAAAAAAATATTTATCCAAAAGTGGTCTAAACTAAATCTAAACTGTTTGTTATTTGCCCTGCCTATTAATTCGGCAGAAAGGAAAGTTCATCCACGGTATTCAAATCTGTTCCATACCGATTGCGATCTTTCCGAAACACCAAATTATGAGCAAATTAAAATCGACAATCAAGGATAGTCGTAAAATATTAATTTTTAATAGACCAATCCCGCCACAAATGACCGCATCGGCATTAAAACTCATCTATCCAAAATATTTGCTACACTAAAATTCCGTGCGAATCAACATAATTTTCTCATGTGGAACACGTAGCGTTCCCATGAATATTCATATGGATCCGCCAGATATAATCACTGTCGGACAGCAGCCGTGCTTGTCAACTGTACACCAGTAATGGACGGTCACACTCATAAATGGTCACCAGCAGTAGACCAACGGCTAACGGTGCAGGTCGGTAACCCTCCGTAATCGCTTCCTTCCTTTTAGGTCGGCAAATCTTGCGCTCGTGATCGTAATGACAATCAAATAATCATCTACGCGCATAATCTTTGACTTTACATGACTCTAGCGTAGAACCCATCGTTATAACTTGCCCTTATAGAGACTATAAGATCATTGACACTATAAAATACTTTTATTGCAAAGCAGTCAGCTAAAGTGTCGGCGAGATACAATGAACAGGTTCTCGCGATCTGCTTTCGGAGATATTTATTGGACGAAAATAAATTATATAAATTAGTCCATTTCGAAGCATATTTTAAATTATAGTGTGCGACCCGAGGACGGCTATGGCGTTTCCCACGATTAATCCATGTGTTAACATTTAATTTAAGACAAATGACCTCGAGGATCCTTTGAAATAGAGTGAAGAAAAATTGCTACGATCTACAGTTACCTAATTCCGCGCTGTGATCAAAGAATGGAAATAAACATGGCTATAAGCTGATTCAAACGGTAGATTGATTCAAAACGTTCGAATTTTGAAACGCTCTTGGTATAATAAGGCGTCCAAAATTATTGTTTATCCATGTATTAGTGGGTATTATCTGTGGTTCCACAGTCGTCAAACAAGCGCTAGAAACACCTGTCTAACGCTCCGCACGCGCAGCACTCTGATTCAAACGATAGATCGATTCAAAACGTTCGAATTTTGAAACGCTTTTGATATAAAAAGGCGTCCAAAATTATTGTTTATCCATGTATTAGTGGGTATTCTCTGTGGTTCCACAGTCGACAAACAAGCGCTAGAAACACCTGTCTATCGCTCGCACGCGAAGCACACTGATTCAAACGATAGATCGATTCAAAACGTTCGAATTTTGAAACGCTCTTGGTATAAAAAGGCGTCCAAAATTATTGTTTATCCATGTATTAGTGGGTATTACCTATCTGTGGTTCCACAGTCGACAAACAAGCGCTAGAAACACCTGTCTATCGCTCCGCAGCTGTGCCGCAGATGACCCGCGCCACGACCGACCCACAGAAATAACTTCCGAAGCGAGAAAACATTTAATGGAAATTGAAACTCGTAAAATAAAATATGACTCTACGGGTAATGGGGTTTAGTTTTAGTACTTATTACTAAAGAAACAATGTTATGCTTTTGTGGACCTAAAAAAATTATAGTGCTGAATAATAATCTGCTGTAAGACATCCTCATAAACGAAGTTTTGATCCAAATTTTTGTATACCTAGGTACCTTACTTATTTAAATTTTCTCAGCAAATTCACAAAAAAACATACCGCAGCAGAAATCTCTACCTTCATCTGATCCACTTGCCCATCTGTTCCACTGTAGATCATCTCTCGCGTCCCAAACGATGTCAATCCGTGATTACGTCACCGGTAGTGACGACACCCGTTCATTCACAAGTATGGCCGCATGGCCAAAGAAAATTTTGATCCTAACTTTCGTGTTACAAATAGGTACCTAACTTCTTAAAATTTTCAACATACCGCATCAGAAATCTCTACCTTCACCTGACTGAACTACTTGCCCATCTGTTCCACTGTAGATCATCTCACATCCCGAACGGTGTCAATCCGAGATTACGTCACCGGTAGTGACGACACCCGTCCATTCACAAGTACCTATGGCCAAGGAAAATCCCAATTATGATCCCAACTTTCGTGTTACATATAGGTACCTAACTTCCATAAACTTTTAAAACTTACCGCACCAGAAATGTCTACCGTCATCTGAACCTCTTTCCCATCTGTTCCACTGTAGATCATCTCGAATCCCAAACGGTGTCAATCCGTGATTACGTCACCGGTAGTGACGACACCCGTTTATTCACAAGTATGGCCACATGGCCAAAGAAAATCTTGATCCAAACTTTTGTGTTATATGAAACCCAACTTCTTTAAATTTTCAAAACATACCGCATCAGAAATCTCTACCTTCATCTGGACCACTTGCCCATCTGTTCCACTGTAGATCATCTCACATCCCGAACGGTGTCAATCCGTGATTACGTCACCGGTAGTGACGACACCCGTCCATTCACAAGTATGGCCGCGTGGCCACTTCCGGCCGCGCGGGCGCACTCGCTGCACTTCCAGGAACCCGGCTTTAGTATTGCATAGATCTGCTTTGACTGTTGAAAGAAATCGTACAATGGGCTTTGTAAGGTTCGTAGTATTTGTAGGGTTTAGATGATCCATGCTAAGCTTTTTATTTAGTGTTGGGTACACTAAGGGTTAATTTCATAGCTTAGCGTGGATCATCCAAAACTCTATTGTAACATATATGTTTTTTCGTAAGTTTTGAACTTTTAATTGGAGGTGGTAAGGTTCAAAATCACTGATAGGTACATATGCTGTACCGGGCAGGATAGATCAGGCCTCTGAGCAATGAGCCAGCTTCCATATTTTGTTCTTATGAATGAAGAGATACGTTACGTCAAATATTCTGTCACAACCACACCTATTCCCTATTTAATGGCGCCGTGTCCGCCTTCATAGCGCCGTCACATCCTGCCGTTCGTAGTATCCCTACCTGCTGTTTTCACATGACACTGCTCAAAATCTTCAAAATTAGAAGATATGTTACGTCACAGATTCTGTTACATCCACACCTATGTCCCATCTGATGGCGCCGTTTCCGCCATCGTAGCGCCGTCACATCCTGCGTCCGTTCGTAGTATTCCTACCTGCAGTTTTCATATTGACACTGCCCAAAATCTTAAGAAGATATGTTACACCTATTCCCCATTTACTGGTGCCGTCACATCCTGCGTCCGTCCGTAGTATCCCTACCTGCTTTCATATTGACACTCAAGATCTTCAGACGAGTGCCGTGACGTAATTCCTTCCGCCGTGACGTCAGTACACGTCGCCCCATTGATGGGACCAGTGCTTCCGTCGTCGTAGCGCCGCAACTTCCTGTCATAGTTTCTGAACTCACATGCTCCTTGGCACTTTATGAATGACAGTCCAATTTTATGGTTTGTGCTAATGTTTTAAAGCAAAATTAAGTGCGTTTCTTTTAAAAATGAACTTTCGACACTTTTAAATTGAAAATGAGAAAGTTGATAAATTTACTAGCGACCGCCGGGACTTGAACCCGGGACTGTATCTGTATATCACCGTTCGACCGCTCTGTCAACTGAGCTACGGGCGCCTAGCGGACCCAAAGAGCGGACCCTGGTGAACTTTTCAACCTTTTTCTTTCAATTTATGAGAATTATATTGCGCTGTGAGTGCATTAAAAATTCCAATACTTTCGACACTTTTGGGCCATTTGGTATTTTATTTCTTAAGTATTTTTTAATCTTCGCCCTCACCTTTCGTAGAAGCCATAATGAAGTGTTTATCGATACCAGGAACAATGCATAATCCTCGTCACACCTTGCGAATCATCAGCAAGTAATTATAAATGCACCCTTCTAATCCCTTATTCTAAATTTGTCATTGTGGCTTTACACTAATTTTATTACGGGAAATTCACCATAATTATATGGGCTCTCTTTCGCTCAAAGGATAAATTTGTTTTTGGTTTCATTGGATTATATCACGCCTCTTTCCCGGAGAGGTAGGCAGAGACTACATGCTTCCACTTGCTACGATCCTGACGTACCTACCTTTTACCTTTTCAGCATTCATCAATCTTTTTAAGCACGCTCATTGGTTTAGGGTACTCTTGACCTGGCCTTTCTTACCTGATTTGTTCCAGGTACGTTCGTCTAGGTCTTCCACTTCCAACGTACCCATCCCCACTCGCCATATGTACTTCTTTCGTAAATCTTCTTACATTCATCCTCTCAACATAACCAATTCATCTGAGCATTCTTTTTTCTATAGGTACCAGTCACTAACTGCAATTTAAAAGCACTAAATCGGGATCGAATTCGAAACACCAGCCAGCTCACAACAATACCAATCAGCTAATTATGACCCGGCTATTGGTATCAGGGTATCACCTCGCACCGCAGCAGCGCGGCGGTTTTTGTAACGTTCGGCAATTTAAAAAGACTAAAGCGGAATCGAATTTGGAACACCGCAGCCAGCACACAACAATACCAATCAGCTGATTATGACCCGGCTATATGTATCAGGGTATCACCTCGCACCCCAGCGGCGGCGGTTCTTGTAACGTTCAGCGCATGTGCAGCTAGCTGCAATTTAAAAACACTAAAACGGAATCGAATTTGGAACACCAGCCAGCACACAACAATACCAATCAGCTGATTATGACCCAGCTATATGTATCAGGGTATCATCTCGCACCCCAGCGCGCGGCGGTTTTTGTAACGTTCAGCGCAAGACTAAAACGGAATCGAATTTGGAACACCAGCCAGCAACAATACCAATCAGCTGATTATGACCCGGCTACATGTATCAGGGTATCACCTCGCACCCCAGCGGCGGCGGTTCTTGTAACGTTCAGCGCATGTGCAGCTAGCTGCAATTTAAAAACACTAAAACGGAATCGAATTTGGAACACCAGCCAGCACACAACAATACCAATCAGCTGATTATGACCCAGCTATATGTATCAGGGTATCATCTCGCACCCCAGCGCGCGGCGGTTTTTGTAACGTTCAGCGCAAGACTAAAACGGAATCGAATTTGGAACACCAGCCAGCAACAATACCAATCAGCTGATTATGACCCAGCTATATGTATCAGGGTATCACCTCGCACCCCAGCGCGCGGCGGTTTTTGTAACGATCAGCGCAAGACTAAAACGGAATCGAATTTGGAACACCAGCCAGCAACAATACCAATCAGCTGATTATGACCCGGCTACATGTATCAGGGTATCACCTCGCACCCCAGCGCGCGGCGGTTTTTGTAACCTTCAGCGCATGTAAAGCTAGCTGCAATTTAAAAAGGAACGGAATCGAATTTGGAACACCAGCCAGCACACAACTATACCAATCAGCTGATTATGACCCGGCTATTGGTATCAGGGTATCACCTCGCACCCCAGCGGCGGCGGTTTTTGTAACATTCAGCGTATGTGCAGCTAGCTGCAATTTGAAAAGGAACGGAATCGAATTTGGAACACCAGCCAGCAACAATACCAATCAGCTGATTATGACCCGGCTGTATGTATCAGGGTATCACCTCGCACCCCAGCGGGCGGCGGTTCTTGTAACGTTCAGCGCATTTGGTGGTAGCTGCAATTTAAAAAGACTAAAACGGAATCGAATTTGGAACACCAGCCAGCAACAATACCAATCAGCTGATTATGACCCGGCTGTATGTATCAGGGTATCACCTCGCACCCCAGCGGGCGGCGGTTCTTGTAACGTTCAGCGCATTTGGTGGTAGCTGCAATTTAAAAAGACTAAAACGGAATCGAATTTGGAACACCAGCCAGCAACAATACCAATCAGCTGATTATGACCCGGCTATATGTATCAGGGTATCACCTCGCACCCCAGCGGCGGCGGTTTTTGTAACGTTCAGCGCATGTACAGCTAGCTGCAATTTAAAAAGACTACAACGTAATCAAATTTGGAACACCAGCCAGCACACAACAATACCAATCAGCTGATTATGACCCGGCTGTATGTATCAGGGTATCACCTCGCACCCAAGCGGCGCGGCGGTTTTTGTAACGTTCGGCTCATGTGCAGATAGCTGCAATTTGAAAAGGAACGTAATCAAATTTGGAACACCAGCCAGCACACAACAATACCAATCAGCTGATTATGACCCGGCTATATGTATCAGGGTATCACCTCGCACCCCAGCGCGCGGCGGTTTTTGTAACGTTCAGCTTATGTGCAGCTAGCCGCAATTTGAAAAGGAACGGAATCGAATTTGGAACACCAGCCAGCACACAATACCAATCAGCTGATTATGACCCGGCTATATGTATCAGGCTATCACCTCGCACCCCAGCGCGCGGCGGTTTTTGTAACGTTCGGCGCACGCGCAGGTGGCGAGACACCTGCCGCGCACCAGACGCGGTAGACCCGGCAATAAACCACATGAGATTTTAATGCGCTAAATATGCTGCTAATATTTGAAAATATGGAATTATAAATCCGTCATAATTTGCATTTGTGATACACTGAGCCATAAGCTTTCGGTTTGTTTTCATTTGTATCAGCTAGATCCATTAGAAGGTGACGGAGAAGTATAGCACTAGCCACGGTAGACCCGGCATAAACCACGTGAGATTTTAGTGCACTAAATGCGTTGCTAATTTTGGAAAATATGGATTTGAAATCCGTTCAGAATTTGCATTTGCGATACCCTGAGCCCATAAGCTTTCTGTTTGTTTTCATTTGTATCAGCTAGATCCAATAAAAGGTGACGGAGAAGTATAGCACTAGCCACAGTAGACCCGGCAATAAACCACATGAGATTTTAATGCGCTAAATGCGTTGCTAATTTTGGAAAATATGGATCTGAAATCCGTTCAGAATTTGCATTTGCGATGCCCTGAGCCCATAACTTTTCTGTTTATTTTCATTTGTTTTTCATCAGCTAGGTGATGAAGAAGTAGATATATTTGCGAATCACCCACCTAAGAGATCAAAATAGTCACCAAGAAGATTTTGAGTTTGAGTTCTCAGCAATAATATCCAGTGTGCTGTCTTCTCCTTCATAGCTCTGTAGTTTATTGAGTCTAGACAATGTAATAGCGTAACGATTGAATGCATTCAGCTTTTATTACACTCTGTAACTACTATTGGTTCTTAACGCTCGTATCGCGACGCTTTGATTGCCAATCTCACCAGTTTACTTATCGCCGGACGGACATGGTTTCTCTCATTTGATCGCAATGTGTCTTTTTTTTACGTAGCCTTTTCAGTGTCTCACTGTAGGGCAAAGGCCTCCCCTCCCCTGCGCCTAGGTCTTGCCACGAAAATGACAAACATACTTTCAGGCAATAACACCACTAAACACGCGTTTAACGAGGTCTAATTTAATATGTCTAATAACCTATGGCAAAAAATATTAAATGATTTGGGAGTAAATTTTCGGAATAACCATGATTTTCTTTGTGCCCTCAGTGTGTCCTCAGTATTTCGCAAATCATATTGCGTTCTCTACTAACAATATCGTTATATCTTCATCATATTATGAATAAATTAAGTTATCTTTTTAAGTTTTTTTTACTTTACAAATTAGTATCATCAGGTGCATTGAAATGTCGTCAAAGATTAATCGATGCCATAGTATCGCGGTCTCGTTTTTATTGCGGTAAATCTGAATCAACATCTGCCGCGGCATTTTCAACATAAATTAACGCTGACATTATATTCCACCGGATATTATTGTGAGCGGAGCATTATTTTTTATAAAAACTGTGATATTTATGTTATTAATATCGCTAAATCACAGAACGAGTAAAAATTCGATATCCAGTGTTCAATATTGGCAATTACATGCCTGCGTAGAGTAGGAAACTACCTATCTAATTTAAATCGCAGGAATATTTCGGCAGATGCGTTATTTACTTACCTATCCAAATTTGAAATCAGCAGTGCTCTAAAATGACCTTACCAATTTTCAATGCCTTGAATTTACGAGACGACGCCTTGACACGCCATCCGAACTCCAGACTAAAGAGATACTCATTGCTTTTTTATATCTCACCAGTCTGTAGAGTCTCCGCGGTCGAGTGGCCTTCCCAACGATCACTGCCAGAGAGGAAGCCATCAACAACTTAAACCGCTCCAGATATCACCGTAATCGCCTGACCTATTTACGAATCCACTTCCAACACGATTATAAATATTTAACAGCATTTTAATATTAAAATAATCGACTGTGGCAAAGCGCATTTTACGAAACTCGTATCACTGGCTGGATGGACGATGATTTATCCCAATTTTCCCGCCGAAAGATGTTCCAATTTTGAATTTTGATTTAGACGCCGCCGCGGACAGCCATTTCCTCTGATACTCGAACACTGTCACGAAAAACCACAAGTCTTTCGAGTGGACGCAGTTGTTTGAAATAAGTATTCACAATCGTACGACAAATTTTAATGACTCTACAAAAATAGTGCCATGCAAGAGCAATATTTTTTTTATTTTCTATTGGCATTGATGTCTGGAAAAAACTGTCTAATAGGTAAGTACAAAAAGAAGTACATATGTATATGAGTAACTTGTTTTGTTATTCATACCTACTAAACGACATTGAATTAGCATT